AGGCGTGTGGCTAGCTTACGCAAGTAGGGATGGCAATGGGTCGGGTCGGGGACGGATAGTGCATATCCGTTATCCTACCCAAAGTACTTCGGGTTTTACCCATACCCATACCCACATATGAAACGGGTAGAAAATTAAAACCATGCCCATCCCCCTTCGGGTTTCGGGTATCCACGGTTATCCATGGGTAATGATTTCTCTTCATAACTCCAACTAATATGTTGACATTCACACGTATTCTCACATTACGCAAGAGGAAAAGTATGACAATAATTCACTAGAATGAAGAAAATTAATTAAAACAACACAATTTCATGAAAATATTATATTTATATGCTAAATATAAAATATGTTAGAAAACAATGACTATTTCTAGACAAAATACATATGTATGTGTATAATCGGGCGGGTTCGGGTTGGATATTGAGAAATCCATGCCCACCCATTACCCGCAATATTCGGGTTTGGGTTTTACCCTACCCGATTAGGCCGGGTTCGAGCGGATATCCACCGTTACGGATATTTTTGCCATCCCTATACGCAAGGGACGCAAGATATATATATGGTTCAGGCTAGCGTACGTCAGACGTACATTGTACGCACGTCGAGTTTTACTATTTAGAGCAAGAATTAATCGGAGTTTGGGGTATGATACTATACCCTATTCTCTAACGGGTGAACTCGTCCCTAATTCTCTAGCCCAAGCCACAAGATTCATTCAATCTAAAAAAAAAAATTGGCAGTTCTAATTCAGCGAAATATATTGAAGTGCAAAACCAAGTGTGAACACAAGTGTAGAGCGTACGCCCAACGTACGCTAGCTTTTGCCATATATTATATGAATATGAATAAGGCTGGCAATTAGTTCCTTTCAGTTATTATCAGAACCATTTAGTTAATTTTTGGTTAATTGTTAACAACTTTGTACTTATCATTAATTGCATCATTTATATTAGTTGGTTAACCGTATTCGTATTGTCGGTTTTCGATTAACCGGATTACCGTTAAGCAAGTGGTTCAGTAAGTTTAAAAAATAATTGTATAAAAAAATTATACAATTATTAATTTTTCTATTAACCGGATTATCGTATTTGTATTGTCGGTTCTCGATTATTTTTCGATTAACCGTATTCATATGTGTTCTTTTTAAAGTTGTTATCATTGTATAAAAAATAATTGAACATAGATATCAATCCATAATCAACTCAATACAACACAAGTACACACTAACACCATTCTACCGTCAAATCTGATTAAAGAAGCAGACAAAAATAAGAGACACAACAACAATTACTCAACTCATGAACCCCCGTCAATTTACATGGAATGTTAAATGTTACCGATTGCTGTCGAGCTATGTGGCAAGTCCAAAACATCCCCTTTTTTTTTTTTTTGCCTATGCATGCGGTTCATCGAAGCCTATTATTTTTTCCTCACTATGAGGATGGTAATAATCAGTTAGTCAGTTAATTGCCACTTATAACTGTTTAACCATTGGTTATTAATTAGCTAAATTTGGCTGCTAAGCCGACCGTTTACTGTTTAATCAGTTATCCATGTAACCGTTAACCAAATATGCATATGATTTTTATATTATTATACTAGCAGGAGAATATGAATAGGATGGTTACTTAAGTGTCCAAGGTTATGGGTTGGTTAATCAAAGGTGCATATTATTTTTGTATATTATTATTTGTGTTTATTCTTTGTAGTTTGATGTTTCAAAGACCATGCGGTGAGTCATCCAAACAATTAAATAGTATTTCAATTCAATCATAAAAAATTAAATGTAAGTACATGTGTTTTTATTTCATAATGCTAGAAATCTTACCATTATATATCTGTCAATCCCACGTGTTATTTAGGAAAATATATACGGACTCAAAAAAATAGATTGTTAACGTCCACCAAACTTGCTGATAGTCTTTGCAATAATCTTCGGGTGATGTGTTTTGTGAGCCTCACTCCTCGAAGGCAGCGATCTAGAGGATTTGAATATGCTGTTGTAAGCAAATAATTTGACGAGGGGTCATTCTTTTTAAACATCTCCGAGACTATGATGATGTCTCCTGCAGTTTGTTTTTTCTCTTGAAATATTTCCCATTTTTCCATTCGTTGTTGGTATTATCATTGTAACGAAGTATTTAATATATCATCATCGGTATCAAGCTGCTATACGATTAACTATATTCTAATGGGTTAGAATTAGTGCATCCACATCAATCTACCACATTGAATTGCAAAGTAGCGACATGGCAATAGAAATGCAATTACACTTTTAATTGCATTGATGGAAGTGTCAATTGCAATAATGCAAGCTACCATTTTATACAATTCCATTTGCGATTCCGAGATAGACATCCATAACTTTTTATTAAGTTTTTTCTTCCTTTTTTACTTTATTAAAAAAATAAATTGGACTCAAATATGCAATTGCAAGTTATGCCAATGAAAGTAATGTAAGTTTGATTGCAAAAAAGTTTAGGTGGCAATAAAAAGCACTAATGAAATTAAAAAAACAATGCATTGATGTGTATGCTCTTAGGAGTGTTTTATTATTAATATTTATATTACTAAATTATTATTTTTAGTTAGGGAAAATGGTTTTTTGAATTATATAGCATAGTGTGAGACGTGTGTGTTTATTGTTTAGGATTTTTCTACATATTTTTATTTTCGACATAGTAACTCGCTACTCGCTCAACCAAGAGAATAAAATTATCACCAAACTTCCAAATTGTTACCATTTGGAAATATATAGATTAAAATATGGTGAAACCAAATTTTAAAAGTAAATATATAACCCTTTAAGATTTCAATAGATTTTTGTTACTTTATTATTGCATTATTTGAATGTTTCGAGTTATATGATTAAATTACTATTTTATTTTGTGCTATCAAGTATTGGTTCAAGTATGTTAAAGTACTAGGTGATAATGAAACACAACCCCAACGCCATTGAAAATCTCAGCAACTTGCGTTTGTATTGAAGAGATTAAAGCTTTTCTAGACAGTTGCTAATAACATCAGGCGAAGCATGTCAGAGAATTTTTAAGTTTGATAGTAGATGTAGTTCACCTTCTATGTTGCGTATGTCACAAGCATATGGAGAATTAAGTAATAATGAAGGAGAACCAAACAACTGAAAATACTATCATAAAAAAAATATGAATTTTATTGCCATGGATGAAAAGCAATGCTCATTCTTCTAAGGCATACAAATATTCTTTGTAGAGTTCCCTCAATATTTCATATGGACCAAAAATTGAGAATGCGCCAGATGAGAAAGAAAAAGGTGTGTATTGGAAGATTGTATTTTATGCTCGCAAGTCGCTGCATTTAGCCAGAGGTTTCTCATCTTATAGAGAAATTAGAACAGTTAATGGTGGAGTACATGATTCCTTTCAAAAAATGTCTTTTGCTCTTAGGTTATTGGCAGATGATGAGTGAAGTGACTTCTTGAAGGAAATTGCCTTTTGTGGTTCTAGATATAAAGTAAGGAATCTATTTGTCACAATTCTTATTCACTATCAAATGTCTGATGTGCAATCTTTTAAATGAGAAATTGGGAATTATTGAGTGATGATATCACGTTCAATTGAAGGAGATAGTTAAATTTATCCAATTTGTAACTTTTTACTGATGTGATCAAACATATATACTCGATGGATATAGATAAACTATTGCATAAAGTTTGGAAACCTCTACGCCTATTCCATATGGAGCTATGAGATTAAATTCTCAAAATTGAATGATCGTTGAGGAGTTAAATACTTAAATTACTATCCATAAGATTTACTGAAGAAGTAAATACGTTGAAACCAAAATTGATTCAGAGAAAATGAAGGCATTCGTTGAAATTATTCGGGATGTGGAGGAAGAAAATCGAAATCGCTTTTTTGTTGATTTGAGGTACGCGGAAAACATTTATTTGGAAGTTTATTTGTTTGAAGTTACGACCAGAAAAAGAAAGTAGTGTCGTGGATTGCTTCGCATGGCATTGTAGCTTTGCTAATGGTTGGAGGTAGAACTGTTCATTCTCGATTCCGTATTCTAATTAACTGTTACTCAAAATTAACATGACATATTGAACACGAAAGCAAGTTAGCATAATTGATTCAAAAAGTTCCCCTTATTATTTGGGATGAAGCTCCTATGGCTCATAAGCATAATATTGAAGCACCAGATAGAAATCTCAAGACTTTTTGCAAGTGAAACAACCAAATAGACAAGACATGATCATTGGGGGAATTTATGTTGTGTTCGGTGGAGATTTTCGACAAACTTTACCAATAATTACTAAGGAACCCCGAGCAGATATTGTAAATTCTTTTATCAAAAGGTTGTATTTATCACTCTCAAAACATGCGATTCTGCCTAAAAATTTGTGGGTTTGAAGAAGTTATTTAGATTGAAGAATTCAACAAATGGATTTTGCATATAGGTGATGGAGTGGGATCCAGTGTTTGTGGGGAGTCAATTATCTCAACTCCAACTTCTTTGAGCATTCTGCTTGAAGGAGATAATATTGTTGATATTGTGAATCATGTTTATGGTGATCTCTATTTCAATTACAGTGAAGGAACATATTTCAAACGAAGATATTATTATTGATGATATACGAAAAGAAAAGTTGTAGTAATCTCTGACGATGATGCGTATACAAAAGGGTGATTTGAATTAAGAGCCGAATCCCTTTCATAATGTTTTTCTTTCATTTTTCATAAAGACATTTTAGTCGATGAGTCAGTTAGAGTGTCAGAAAACATTACTAAAATAAAATGGTTGAATTACTAAAATAATTTTGATTTTCTTATACTACCAATTAATTTGAATGTTTTAAGTATTTGAACAAATCAAAATTTCTCATACTACAAAAAAACACATATCTCGTATACAATAGCTATTGTTGTTTACGTAATTGGCAAATGAACTCGGCCAACTGGCCGGGGCCCTGACTAGTTACCCAAGTACAAATTTTATTACTTCATCATCATCATTTCTTTTTTACTGAACCTTGCCCTCGCGGTCGTCTTCGTCTATTATCTCTGCAACCGAAGACCCTAATCAAATCTGCCAATTTGCATTCCATCTCAATGTTGAAGGTAGTCACTGCGTCCTCCCGCAGCCGCCTCACTCACCTCGCTTCTCCACGCCTCCTCCGACCAGCTGCAGCTCCTCCCAGCTCCGCCCGAAGTTCTGGTTCGTCGAGCCCCAATCTCGGTCAAAGGGATTTCCCTCTCACGGGTTACGTCACTCCTAGGCTCGAGGACCATGCCACGGTTGGTATTTGTAAAGAATGACGCTCTACATTGCTGGTTTTTGTGTTTTGTTTGGATGCTGTTTGAGCTTGAGGAACCGGGTTTTTTTTAATACTTCTGTTGGGTTTGTAGGGTTTTATTGTTAATTAATATATTAGCTCTCATATTCGCAATTTAATATGGATTAGTGTTAAAGAATGGATTGTGAGTTGGGGGTTTTCCGGGATCGGATACTATGCTAACCCCTAAAGGGGTAGTGATTTTCGACACCCTCCTTTTGATTGGTCAGTTTTATTTTTAATCATTGGCAAGTATTAATTAAACTTGTTTTTTATTTTTTTTTAATCTTGTAATTTTGGTTCTCTCACCCACATTGAAAAGGGAAAGAACTTGGGGAACCAGGAAAAAACTTGGGGAACCAGGAAAAAGCACCCCCCAAATGTGCAATTAATTGCCATTTTTTGTCTTTCTTTCGTCTCCTTCTCTCTCCATTTGGAACCCCTTTCCATTTTGATTTCATTTTCACCAGAAGCCTCCCCATTTTCATCTTCCTCTTCCTCCCGCCGCCGCCATCACCCCTCTCCACCCTCTTCATCCACGCCTTCCACTTGTGCCGCCTCCATCCCTACAACCGTCGTACTCCTCTGGCGTCTTCCCCCATCACCATCCTCCTATCTCCAGCCGCCGCCGTCCTGGGATCGCCTCTGACCTACCGAGTGGGTTGCTCGCCGTCGGAGGACAAGACGCAAGGTTATCGCCGGAGATCAAACAGATGAAGGCCACACCGAGAGGGAAGACGGATCCAACATTCCGCGCGACGATTCTGGGCATGCCAAGAATGGCGAATCTTGTGCGGCATCAAATGATGGGGGTGACGACGTGATCGGACTCTCCTCCCGAACGCAGGAGGCACCAATGGAGTGGTACGTGTACCAGTGGAATGGTACGTGTACCAGTAGAGTGGTACGTATACCAGTGGAGTGGTACGTGTACCAGTGGAGTGATACTAGTAACCATATGTTCTGTTTAGGCTTAAAAAAATTTGTGAACACAGTTTTTGGCTACTAATGGAAAGTTCCTATTTTGTTGACTGATTGAAATGTTTCTTGTGTTTCTTGTGCCAGATTTATATTTCATGATCAAGTATGAGTACCACTCCACTGGTATACGTACCACTCCACTGGTACACGTACCACTCCACTGGTACACGTACCACTCCACTGGTACACGTACCAGTCCATTGGTGCCTCCTGCGTTCGGGAGGAGAGTCCGATCACGTCGTCACCCCCATCATTTGATGCCGCACAAGATTTGCCATTCTTGGCATGCCCAGAATCGTCGCGCGGAATGTTGGATCCGTCTTCCCTCTCGGTGTGGCCTTCATCTGTTTGATCTCCGGCGATAACCTTGCGTCTTGTCCTCCGACGGCGAGCAACCCACTCGGTAGGTCAGAGGCGATCCCAGGACGGCGGCGGCTGGAGATAGGAGGATGGTGATGGGGGAAGACGTCGGAGGAGTACGGCGATTGTAGGGATGGAGGCGGCACAAGTGGAAGGCGTGGATGAAGAGGGTGGAGAGGGGTGATGGCGGCGGCGGGAGGAAGAGGAAGATGAAAATGGGGAGGCTTCTGGTGAAAATGAAATCAAAATGGAAAGGGGTTCCAAATGGAGAGAGAAGGAGACGAAAGAAAGACAAAAAATGACAATTAATTGCACATTTTGGGGGGTGCTTTTTCCTGGTTCTCCAAGTTCTTTCCCTTTCCAATGTGGGTGAGAGAACCAAAATTACAAGATTAAAAAAAATAAAAAATAAATTTAATTAATACTTGCCAATGATTGAAAATAAAACTGACCAATCAAAAGGAGGGTGTCGAAAATCACTACCTTTAGAGGTAGTCACGCTAACCGAACCCGGGGTTTCGCCAGTTTGTCGTCTTCATCACTAAATCTGGATGGTTCAATGGTGCCCCCCATCATGACAAAAGAAGTTGGAGGTTTCTTTTTAGCATCTGTATCAGGGTATGAAAAGGGCCACTGATCTGCAATGTTACTCGCGGATGGTATTGTTGTGTCAGGGTTTTTTGCGTTTTGTTCATCTTTTACTTTGTGTTGGCAGGTATTGGCGGTGCCATGGACTGGTAGACCTCTGTTTCCCAGTATGATTACATCTGTCAATGTGCAGAAGGTATTTCACATTCTTGCGCTGTTGAGTTTTGGTAGGCGCATTCTATCGTAGCTTCCTAAATTCTCCGTGCCAACCGAGTGAGTTCGTTGCTTCTTTTGTTTGTCATGGCATTCTTTATCCTAAACTGAAGCCAGCATATCGAGAAATATTGGAAAGTCGAGCGCCTTATGTTGGTGTTTTTCTGCTCAAAGACGAGCCAAGCACTGATTTAAAGTCGGAGAAAAGCACCGGCTGTCTCACAGGCAAGGATCTCTTCAATCGTCTTCACCAAGTTGGAACGCTAGCTGGGGTACCTCTTCTCCATTTCAACATTTTGGTTAATCCGATTTCAGTTGGGTTTTCCCCCCCTCATTTTTGTCGTCGAAGCAGGGGACGGACTTGGAATGGTGATGTTGATACTGTATTCTGTATAATGTGACTGGCCAGATTGTGGATGACAACGGTGGGGATATGATTGCTGGTCATGTGCTTGTTGGTCATGGTCGGCTTCGGATCACAGAGATGGTATATTACAGATTAAACTCCATCTTTCCCCCATTCCTCTTTCTTCTCACAATATCATAAGACCATAGTGTCGTTTTCCTTACCCTCTAATCTGAAAACTCGTTTTCGGATTCTGTGTGTACAGGTCAGTGAAGATCCTCTTATTGTGAAGGTTGATCATCTCAAGGTATGCTCATCTCTCTCCATCTCTGTTGCTCATATCCTTGAGCTGGACTATGATACCCTCTCTTGATTATGCAGGACAAGCCATACAGCAGTGCTGACGGTCCCAATTTGCCTACCGCATTGGACCTTTTATCAACCATCTCCATGAACCGTGTTCCTTTCATCGAGGTGCGGTTGTTTCTGGAATAATCGTTTGTTTTGGGTTACTTCGTCTGTTCATTATTTGTTCTGTAATTTAATGATGTGGTCCGCAATCTCTAGTTGCCTTATGTTGAGTTTGTTTTTCCCTTCTGTTCCGACTCTGAGTAGCAAAATGTTCAACAACCTTTTTTCTTCAATCCTAGTTTCACTCCTTTCATGCGTAAATTAGAGTTATGAACTTCGTCGTAATATGTACAGCTCATACGGAGGCTTGATTTCTCGAGGTTGGCCGATCACGGGGCTGCAATCTCCAATGGTGCAAACTATTTGCAGCTACAGGAAGTGCTCGCAGAGTTGAACGTAAGTGACGAAAGAGTTTTTACCTACTTCGTATAAGTGTGATGTTTTCCAGTATAATAGATAAGAACTACTTTTTTGCACATATGTTTCTGTGTTTCAGGTGCATAAGAGGCTGAAACTTGCTCTTGATCTGGTGAAGGAGCAAACGGATTTCACCCGACTTGAGTCCCAGAAGCGGCTTGTTTTGAGTAAAATAGGTACTAGAATGGCACTAGAAGAATCTGGGCTCGAAGACCTTGGATCACATTCTGTGGTAAAGGTTTTGACAGCGACGGACACCCCAACGAAGTGGAGCCGCTTACTTGATTGGATCTCGGATCTCTTATCCATATGACATATATAATTTTGTACAAATAGCTAATTGCTAATGTCGGAGCAATGCTGAACCATATTTCAAGCTGTTAAACTGGAAGTTTTAACCTCGTATGTAGTAGAAAGTCGCAATGTTGATGAAGGAAAGTTAAGCCCGTGGTGTTTTTCTGATTCTAAAAGCATATGGCATATTGTACAAATGACTAAGCCAATGTGGCGAAAAAGACTAGCCAAATTTCGAGCTCATGCATACACCTGAAAATATCAAACCATTTATGGACCTATGATCTTATAAGAAGAAGAATAAACATGTCATAAGCTTCAATGAATCATGTCAAGCTATGTCTACTGTAGTTTATTGCCTCTATAGTTCTAACACTGTTACCTTGTTCCTCCAGCTTCTGTACAGTTGCAAACTGGAAGGACTGTACCATCTAAACGTTTCTTCATCTCCATATTATCTTCTTTTTGCTTTCATGGCTGGTCGTCGTCTAATGGAAGACATGAGATGAGGCATAGAACTCACTCTCATTGAAAACCGGCCTCAAGTCCTCCTGACGCATGAATTCCAATGGGAACGAAACCAGAAGCCCCCTCACCGATCTCAATCTCTCCATTACTGTCCTTGCTTCGCCATTTTTGTGGCGTTCTAGCTCCGGTGGAGCTATGCCTAGATCAATGGTGGTGTGGCCACCGAGCTTCTCCCGCCAGTAGTTCATGTTTTGCCTCAGAGAACCCCTTCATTTTGGGAAGGAAAAAATGTCAACACTTTACATGCAAACCTCAAGTTGAAAGATCAGTAATATAACAAAATCAATCAAGAAAAAGTATACCTTGAATGGATGAGATCATTGGGGAGACAAGCAAATACTTCCTGGTATATCTTGGCATTCTCCTGCTCCAATGCAACAAAAGGGACAACCTTTTATAAGTTGCATGCCAAGAGGAGAAAGGGTAAAACCATTTTAGATTTTCTCTTATTGTTCTTACCTCAGCAGTTGCTTGCCATAAGTCCTTATATGTCGAGTCTACTACAGGATCACAGATTTTGTCCAACTGAATCATACGAATGTTCATGAGTTCACAGTTGATGTAACTGGATGGAATCAGTAGGTCTCATGATTACTAACCTCGTCCTTGTTTAGCCCTAGATGCTCAGACCAAAGCGAGCATCTCAAGCTGTATGCAAGTTTCCCAGCCTTCCATGGCTGTCCATCCATGGATGAATCGACAAACTCCTTGTCCTCGATCAACACCCCAATCTAATAGCAGATAGATTTAATTATGCCAAGATGAAGAATCTTGAGCTCTATGATCTTTCATGTGAGCAACAATACCTCAGAGTCTCTAGATCCGAGCAAACTTCTGTCATTGATGTTGGATGATCCGATGAAGGCAACACGATCGTCGATTATCATAACTTTGCTGTGGACGTACACCTGACTTGTGGCAATGGGACCTCCATCAGAAAGCCTTCCATATGTCCTCAGGCCATAAAAGGAAATGTAGTCTTGTGCTCTGTGACCAAGCAGATCATTGAGATGGTACAGTATCGATGTTTTCTCCCACGAGATTGTTCGATATTGCCAATGCATTATGGCTCGAACTGTTGCTGCTCCACCATCGTCAATTCCTCCCTATCAATGAGACATCACAGGAGAAACATGAAGTTGGGTGTTCTGTTCTGTCTATCCAGAAAGCAAGTTACCAACCAGGAAGTTTACCTGGAAGCCTGGTAAAAGAGGTATGACAACGATAACTCGAAAGCACTTCTCTTCTTTATGTGCTCTCAGAATCCGTCTGTACAATGCTTCCAGTACTCGATTCTGGATGACTTCATCTTCATTAAGCCCTGATATGAAGAACTGATTCTGAAAACAAAAACGGGACAAAAGTTCAAATGATACCCTTAGCATAACCTTACAGATTTCATCTTGGAGTTATAAAATCTCTAAATGGTTTAATCAAGCAACATTAGAACATCAAGCAGATGAAATTGGAATACCTCGATGTAGATAAAGTGTTCTGCTTTTTCAATGAGAGAGCAGTAAGCCTTGTGTATGCTATCTTCAGTTTGGCTAGATCCAGCGGACCACTGACTCACACTTCTTATGATCTATATACATAATCAATCAGCATTATAATCGATGGAAGTAGTAATTTATGGCAGAAACGGGAAGATGGTTATAGGCAGGGTGATTCTAAACCTGACAAGAGCATGCAACACGAGGTCCAACTTGTTCATAACCACAAAAGGGAAATTCATGGTGACCATCTTCTTCGCCGGATGTTTCTGACGATTCATCAGACACCTGCTTGTTGTTGCCATGAAGCTCCATGAAGTCAAGCTCATTGGACGAGGAATCTGCTGATGTTGTAGTATCAGGAGCAGACGTAGATTCAACTATGGGATTCTGGAACGAAAACGATATTCGTCTTTTTGCTTCAGCAGAGGGATCAGGAAGACTATCAACTGTGGCTTTAGCAATGGTGTTCTGCTCCATACAAGAGTGAACGACCAACTCATCCGCTTCCTGAGGCAAAAGCAATGGCACGTCTTCGAATGGGGATAACGACGAGAAGGAATCCAGTCTGTTCGTTCGTTTTTGCTCATCTTCCATATGATTTTGCTCAATGTCTATCTCGACGCTCCTCCCCAAGTAATGAGGGAGGACCATATGGTGGTGAGGCATCAGCAGAGGGATTGTTTGCTCGTGGAGAGCTTTGCTTCTCTGAGGAAACAAATCGGATATTCTGAGAGGCAAAAAACATTATACCATTTGAATTGAGAAGTGGTGAAGCACATATCGTACCTTGGCATGGTTCCATCGTTGGACGAAGTGCCTGGCAATGTCCCGACAAGGTGGACCCCACATCGCACAGTGGACATCGTGCCATGGCATTCGTGGATATCTACTTCGATCCAACACATCTTTCATCATGTCCTCCCAACAGTTGGGTTCAATCTCTCTAGCAAAACAACATTGTATGGAACCCATGAATGGAATGTTGGAGCAAGAAATGATGGAATTTTCTCTTGTTTCTAGATTCACAAACTAACCTAGGATTGTAGTAGTCCTTCCCTGGCCAAATGTGAGCAGGATGATCGCCAATTCTATGTTCAATCGTGTCATAACGGCCAAAGCATAAATCTAATCCTCCAATAAAGGAGATGTGGTAATCCACAATTACAAGTTTTTCATGGTGAGACCTGCAAAGCAACAGAAAAATAAGGAAAGCACATTCTCAAGAAAATAACGGATTCTGCTGAATGTCCAGCCACCAATAGCGTACCATAGATAGACACCAGTGGCGAGATGGTCAGGGTATCGCAGTACTTTGACATTATCATGTATGTCGAGAAGCCTTCTCTTGCTATAAGAGCTGTTGATTTTCAAAGCAATGGACACCTCCTTGTATAGAAGAATATAAATCTGGACACCTTGCTTTGCTTTAGCTTCAAGTAAAGAATCGAGCCGAGAAGTAGAATGACTCTCGAAAGGGCGTCTTAGATACAGCTCAGGGCAAAGCCACCAGCCAGTAATGAATATCTGCAAACATAAGCTTTTGATCAAAATTTGGGTCTCGAAATGAAAGCTTCAGATTCTAAGGCTATACAAATATGGATTATGATCTGCTATTGCCAAAGAAGCAATACCAAATTCTCTTCTTAGCTACAATTTACCTCAGATTTTGCATCCTCTATCGCCGAGGCAATTGCATCAAATGCTGCCTCCCCATCTACAAACCACTGAGCCTCACTTCCGTCGTTGGTCAAACCCCTTGGAGGAGCAAAGGAACCGAATCGATGAGGATGGCACCAAGAGGAATCGTTTATAGCAGCGATCCATCCTTTCACTTTTCCACTGCTTGTAGCTCTCACTCTTATGCTCCGATTACCAGATGAAACCTTATCACACATTTCAGATACGTCAGTCAACAAACCACTGGCAACAATAAAAACAAGAATTGACAATTTAGGCTGGCCAACCTCAAAGGCATAGCGCAAAGGATTACGCTGCTTGATCTGGCTTGCTAATGCTCGTGGTTCACCTTTGTCTGGTGTTGATAGAATATCAAAAACAACAATATCTAATAGTTTTGTATCATCTAAAGGGTCTTGCAGGAAGGCTAAGAAGCCAGGTTTCAAAACTGCCCAAACCTGCACCATTACAAAAGAAGCTGATGCATTGCACATTCGACAAAACATCAAACCCAGTCTCTAATTTCCGGACTTATATTACCTTCTGCCAGTTGTTGTTACAACAACAAGAAAACCAATGGCATGGGCAGCAATTTGCAGCGGAATTTTCGTCCCTTGAAGATATCTTTGGCACATGCTTCACCATCACGTACCCTTCTTTCAACTTTGGACCATACTCCCTTGAGAACGACATCTTGGAGACCTCGAGAAATTTGCAGGCCTACATTCGAAGATAACATAAGGCGAAAAGGTTGAAAGAAGAAGTATTTCGTTGCAAAATTGAAGCAACTCGATCTTTTTTCCTTACCTCTCTGGAGTTGACTATATCGATACTACCAAGGAAATGGTTCAAGTAATTCTGCATTGCCACCTTTCCTCTATCAGCAATCGCCTGCTGCCCTCCTAGCGTCGGACGAATGATTGACAATGCAGCTGCTGATGGCACGCTTCTGCTGATATATAATCAACAGTTGAAAGTCTTTAAGATACTATAAGACAAATTTGCACGAATATATGGAAGTTCAGAGATCGTAATGCTGAATGAAGCAAACAAACTCTACCTGCTTCTAACACAATCTTCTTGGTGGTGCAATGGAACTGCTCCATCATCAGGCTCTTCAGCATCTTGTGTCACTGCTACTTGATCAACCATTCCTAAGTAATGCAGCCATTCCTTGACCTTTCGTGTTTGGCCAAATTAATGAGCGAAATCATAGTGTTAGAATCTTTTGAAATAATTTAGTCATTTTCAAAAAAGAGAAACGAATCAACTTTTTTCTTTTGTGATACTGATACCTGTTCTTGCTTCTCGTGGAGTTCTTGAATGAGTGCACGTTTCTTCAAGGCAAAGTGTAAGTAGAGAACTTGAGAAGCTTTCTTCACCAATACCCATTTGAACTGTTTCACCAAATTGGTAGTTTCAGAAGTTTAGCGGATAAAAAGGAAATTCAGACATA